TACACTGCCTAATTCACATAATTTAATGATAAAAAATAAAAAGTCATAATACAAAAAAAGTCTTGTATTTGAGTCTATATTAATCTAGTTTCATCTTGATGGAATTAAAAGATTTCGCCCCCATTCCTGGCTTTAAATTTCTACCGCCATATAATTAGCGTAAACCATTCCAGTCTTTATATAGTGTTGTGCTGAGGAAGACTGGTATATGTAAACATCTATGTGAATTACAGGCCCTTCATTTTGAAATAATTTGTCCATGAAAAGTATCAGTACAAAAGAGAGTCAGTGTTTTTAAATATTTGACCATCTTTCCTGAACCTCAACTAATGTTCCACATGCTTTAGTTGCCACAAGCACACTGTAGGAAAACTAATGAAACAATTCCATTAGATGTTCTGCTGTTAATAGTGAACAGTTATCACATATGTCAATGTCTTAAAAAGGTCTTAAATCTATCCTGATGAAAAATGCAGGTGTCATTCCGTATCCGAAGTATGGAAGTTCAGTCACATTATAACAGGATGTATGTTATTTAAGGGGGAAGGCCTCTACCTATAACTTCTAATGGTCTGTAGGGCTGAGATCTGGAATGCTGACACCTTGTTACTTGACTCTGGTTAGATGTTCTGACAGTCCAAACACACAGGAAGTCTCATTAAGATGCTTCCAATTGTCCCTCTTAAAGTCCACATAAAATTGAAATCAGAGATTTGCTTCCACATATTTACGTATTTCCTGTAAAAACAGGCAGCTACAAAGGGACTTGTCGAGGTAGCCAATAGCGCTGTGTGTTACGTCCCCCAGTCCAGCAGCTGTAGCGGACCCATTAGCTGACTCTGCTGGGACTGGTAGCTCCCAGTGACCCCCAGACTGGGACTGAATGCAGCATCTGATGCCATTGGAGGCAATGTGACAACAGGGTACAAGATAACTAGCGAACGGTATCTAGAATTAATGTTGGCGACAGTTAGCTACTTTTAGTCCATCTGTAAACTCCATAAAGCCCCCCGTTACCGCTGTCATCAAACTGATGTTAACAGTTAACACTGACGGCAGCTACATTAGCAGTTAGTGGAGTTGAGACAGAGCAGCCGGAGGACGTCAGAGGCAAAACCAAACAAGTCATCAGTGAGGTCCGGACCTCCAGAAAGCCTCTGCTCTGAATGCTAATGAATCTTTGCTTTGTGTCGCTAAAAGTTGATTGATTGATTGATTGATTGGTGAATATCATAATATTATTGGTTGAAATTGGTTATTCGTGCTTATGTAAGCACACGCCAGATTTTGTTTTACAAAAAGAAAAGGTGATTTGATTTTGACATAAAAACATTTTGAGATTGCAAATTCATTGTTCATGTACGTACCTATGAGGAGACAGAGTAGATACTTGACCACAGTCCCAAGGAAGCAGTTATCCATCTAAAGAAGCATTACAGTGTGAGTGTCTCTACCTGTAGGAGACCCAACAGTACCACCATGAGCAAGACCTTGGAGACAAGGGCAAGGAAAAACTGCCTGTTAAAAGGTAGAAACCTAGGACAGACCCTTCGGCTCTAGGTGGGTGGTCATCTGTCTCGACAAGTGATCCATCCACAATACATACAGTGGGTACGGAAAGTATTCAGACCCCTTTAAATTTTTACCCACTGTACCTGCTCCTGTAACCTTCACCTCTTATTTTCCTTTTCTTGAAAAACATTTTCTTCAGCTTAGATAAACTGCTAAATCAAGTGCTTCTTATCGTCTAGGACTAAATCAATCAATAATTCAATTCTAGCTTAGCAGTATTAGTGTAGATGTCAAGATTTAGTGTACCTGTTAATCTTTTTGCTGATCTGTTATGTGCCAAATGTCTTGTTTGATTAGGACATTGTAAGTGCAGATTATACTGAGCATCTCCCACTGCCCAGCTGTAGAACTGTAGTTGTATGAGCTGTAGACTTTGATGCAGTTTTAATGTGAGCTGGTACTGGTTCAAAAGGTAGATCACACTGCTCTGAGCTTTATTAACAGGGGAGTATAAAAGCTACTATTCAGTTTCCAATTGGCTTGTAAATTCACAATTATTCTGTTCACTCCTGCACTCCCATATAGATTGTGCACCTCCTGATTTTACTTTCTGTCTAAGGATGGCTAAATAAGTGTTTGCGAGCTTGCAGTCCGATTTGTTCCATGACTAATAGTGTAATTTAGGCCTGTTGATGTGCAGCAGGGAGAGAGGCCTTTGAAGTGGAGTACAGAGCAGGACACTGATGCTCACATGGAGACTCAAGCAGTCGTCTTCGATATCAAAGAGAACAAATAGTCGTCATGGAGGCAAACATCATCCTTCTGTCTCTCTTCTTCCTCCATCATTTCTTTTTTCTGTGCTGTGTCATTTACAGTATGCTGTCAGTTCTGCTGAGGCAAAACTCACTACGCTGCTTGTTTTAATCCCCTCATCCTTCCTCTGTTCTTCGAAATCAGAATTACTGAGGACATACAGTAGACCTGCATGTGCATCAAAATCTGTTGCTCTTTCACACATGCACACGGCACTGAATGCCATATATCACTTACAAATATACATCATCTTTATTGTCCCAGGCTGCTCCTGACTAAAGATTTCATAGTCGACTAGTTGTCTCACGTTTATGATATTTATTGAATTATTAAAATATATATTTTTTAACAGCTGCCTGTTAAATGCTAACAGAAACAGCAGTAATAATTCTGAATGTACCGGAACAACCAGCGAGCAGACTGAACATTTAGTTGACTTATTTAAACACAGTGTAACATCACACAGTCTGGTTGTTCAAAACATGAAAATTCCAGCTTCACAAAAACAGATACTGGCAGACTTAGCCATACAACGGGAGACGTATAACGGTAGCAGCTAATTATAAATTAAATCGCTACAAACTCGCTCCTCTTCCTCTGTTTCATGCCTCTCCCGTCCGTGCCTCAACCAGCCGTGTCCCATCGAGCTGGATGTAAATTAGCTGGCCTCCGTTGGTCTGCCCTGCTACGGTTCTCATTCGCTCATTCCGGCAGCCTTCATGTCTTAACCAGGCTTTTATTGTGAAACATTTGCAGGGATGTGCTCTTATTATGTTCCATTCTGGAGTGGTTGAGTCTAGTCTAGTGGTAAAATTCAGTATTACTGGTCAGGTATTTGGCAGGTTTCAAAATGTGCCCAATCCTAACAAATTCAGTGGACATATGGTCGTACATACATACTCATTCACGTCCCTTCCTGTATCCCTACACATACTTTAAGACCCAAGTATGCATGCTCACATATCTATATATCTATATGTAGTATTCAGCAAGGTATTTTACTTAGACCAAAGCTCATCCTCCCTTCCATTTTAAAGTCTTGTATTAGCAGCCAGACAGAAGCAATGTGAAGTTTAGATTGAGGGAGTTGTCAGTGTCATTTGTTATGACCAGTGCTATGCTCTGTTGTTGAGCTCTCAGACAGGGAGCCTAATGATTTTGGTCTGTCTGATACTGTGTATTTGTTGGAAACGGTCAGCATGGCAAAGTCGCAGTGGGTAACAGTACAACAGGATGGGCTGAATCATGCTTTTGTTGAGTAACAACAGTAGGTGGGCGGCAACCGACAGTGCTCTGAGTTTACAGATGACATGGATTTTTTGCTGGCTTTTAGGGATAGCAGTGGTGTGTTGGTCAAAGCAGAGTTTATTGCCTGTACCGAATCCAAAGGTGATTGAAGCTGTCAACCTGTTATACTCTTCTACCACGGATGAGGAAGGGTTCAGTCCAGTCCAGTGTGTGTTCTTTTCTTTTTTCGACATTCGGCTGCAGGTATTCATCATTGCACCGTTGTGTAAAGTGAGAAGTGTGTTGATAGGCTGTAACCGAGTTGTCATTTAGCAGTGCATGATACACCCAAGAGTAACTTCTAACAAATGCATCAATGGAAAGTTAAAGCACTTAAAGTCTAATTTCTACTTTCATATTTAGGTTATGGCTCATTACTTTTTGTTAAATTGTTCTGTATTTGATTAAATGGAAACCCACCATTTACTACATAAAATGTGGAAATATATTAAAATGTTTCTTTTCAGTCAGGTGCTACTGTTAGTGTACTGGTTCCTGACAAGACACTAAAGACACAACATGGTTAGACACACTGGAAACAATAACACTTTATGCTCTTAAGATCCCTTCCACATCCCTTCTTATGCTTATGTCCCCTAAAATGTCAGACCATGACTTTACTGGTCACTAGAGGTGTTTTCACATTCCTTTACTGAAGGGAGAGATGTGTGTACGTTTCCTCACAATCTGAGATTTTTATTTGGGACAACCATGTTAAACAAAATATGAATCATAGCGGAGTATTGTTACATACTGTCAGAAGTGGAACTTTAAGTGACAATGTTTTTCACATTATTTTAGCATGGTGTCAGACCTCATCACTGCTAGTCATCAGCCACATGATTTGTTCAGTGGTTCATATTATTCTGGTGTCATCATTGATGGCTGTTTCCCTGGTTGGAAAAACAGTCGTCCAATCATAGCTTAGTAGCAAGCCAAAGTGACCAAAAATCACTTGCAACTGATTGGTTAGGTCGAAACAAAAAAAAAGAACCCTCCCTCAACAGATGATGGCCAACATAAACATGAATGCAGTGTAACAAAATGGCGATTCAGTTCAGATTATTAGGCATCATTATTTTGTTTAAATTGTAAAGTTAAAAGTTTTGTTTTTAACTTGCTAGATAGAATTATAGTTTGAATGCACAAAGGTCTGTAAAGAATCCTTTTAGCACTTTCAACACTGAACACACCACACAGGCACACAATATGTTTTCTTGCTGTAACAGACCTAGGAGAGTCCCAGAAGGACAGGGGGTCTGTGCATCCACCCAGAACAGATCTAGTCAGTCACAATCAGTGCAGATATCAGTGTGGGTGCACAGGGACTTCTACATAATTTAACCAGTAAAGAGATATCTTGTGTGGCTGTCTGTCTCCCTTGGCAGGACGTGGAGATACGGACCAATGCAAGTCTCTATCTGCCCCAGATCAGCGAGCTGTTGAACCGAGTGCCCCGTCAGATGCTGCTGCTGCTGAAGACCAATGACTTGCTGAGGGGCATTGAAACCACCTTACAGACCAGAGCCTCCTCCTCGTCCTTCATCAACATGTCCCGCTGCTGCATACGCGCCATGGCCAGGTCAGAAAGACTGTCCTCTTTTCTCTGTCGTAGCAAGATTCTTTTTTATTATGAGCAGCCTAAAATAGTAGATTGCTGATTGGATCACTGTGGTGTGTGAAGTGTAAGTAAGACCTATTGTTTTTATCTCTTCTGTAACTGTCACATTCCTCTTCATTCTATGTTTAAAATTTCGAAAACTTTGGCACCCCTGGTGGTTGTATCAAAGTAAGACACTGTCACAGACTGGAATGAAGTCAGTAGTTTTGTCTCCAAATATTCCTGCCAATTGTTAGGTCCTTATTCTGCAGTTGTAGAGACAGTCCAGTCAGTTCCGGTATACAAAATTGAGAATGACTGTCTATAGTAAAACATAAACTATAAACGTGACTCCATGAGGATCTGTGAATAATATCCTTCAGTTTCTGGGATGTATGCATACAAAGAGGAATGGTGAGACGGGAAATGTGTCAGAACTAAAGACAAACTAAGCTGACAGGTAAGTGGCTTTAGAAGAGAAATTGAATTTTGCCACTATAGGTTGGGAGAGGAGAGCTGTGGGCTGTCACTTCAGCTCTCAGCTGATGGCTGAAGGACAAGGCTCTGGACACACACACATACACACACACACCGGGTGTCTGCCTTGCTTGGTGCTATGCTGCTGACAGTGGTAGAGCTTGTCTGAATAAGCACATCTTATAAAATATTAACCAACTGTAGTGCCATGGGTGGTAATGTAATACAGGCACCAGGGGATCCTGCAGTGCCACCTCATTCCCACACCTCAACTTCAGCGTGCTGTACTCACAGCTGCTCTGTCTCACTGTAGGAGAGCCTTTTCTACAACTCACACTGTGTTCATGTGCTGTCAGCAGCCAGAACTAGCTCCGCTCAGGCATGTAGCACCTTTTTTCTTGTGTTCCTGATATTTTTAAATGCAAGATAAAGTAGATCAAGATGATTACCCGCCGGCCAGGGCCTTTCTGTGTGCAGTTAGCATGTTCTCCCTATGACTGCATGGATTTCCTCCAAGCGGTCTTTGGACTGTAGGAGAATCTTGAAAAAAGACATACAGGTTAGGTAATAGAACATTCTCATCATAGCTGACAGACTTGTGACCTGTCCAGGGTCCTGTTACCTGTTGTGTTCTCAGATAGGCTAAAAGTGTTCACCTGCTCTACCTCAGCTCTGTCTTTACCTCCTTTTCTCTAAACTCAGCAACCAGCTTCATGGTTTTGCTGACTTTGAGCAGCAGGTTTGTTTCTGTGCACCGCTTTCAACATTGTTGATTTGCTCCTGATGTGAAGCCTCATCATTGTTTGAAGGGGTTACTCACAGGTACCCTCCACGTCATATGTGTCGCTTTGGGAGTCACTGGAAATTTGACCTAGTCTGACGTTTATCTATGAGGACGTGCCGGTATTCATGTGTGTAGGTATGCTTCCTTATGATGGGATTTCACCATTCTGTTCAACAGAGGAGAGTTGAGTTAGAAATAGTGTTGTGTACATGGCTTTCCTGAGTTCTTTTGGGGTTATGGGTTGGTCAAGTATGTTTGCCATTATTTTGGATCAATCAGTAGTTCACAGCCATCAAGATATGAATTGGATATTGAACGATGGAGCCTCAAAAAAGGTTGTGTTAATGTCTTGGGGGGTTTTATTTTCAATTTCTTCAGTGTATAGAGAGTTTTTTCTTTTCATTTCAGCTCATTAGCAAGGATTTTTTAAATTGTTTCCAAAATAATTCAGTCTCATTCTATACATTAAGGAATTGGGTCCATTGATGTATGATATTTTTCTTTATTTTTTCTTAATTTTCTCTCTCTCTCTCTCTCTCTCTCTCTCTCTCTCTCTCTCTCTCTCTCTCTCTCTCTCTTACGGTTTGCTAATTGATGTTTCAGTTTGTCATTTTAAGTCCTTGCTGTCTTTCTTGTTCCTTCTTTTTTTCGGTGTAGAATATTAAATATGCCCCCTAAGAGCTACTTTTGCTGTTGCTGATATTTCTGGGGAATGGTTCAGTTCAGTGACGGATGTCCACACTTTAGGAAGGAAATGGTTAAAACCTTTGATTTAAGAAGTACTTAATGGGTTCGGATGACGCGGCCCTTTACAGTAAATATGGAATGAAAGAATTGTGCACTGAATACACGCACTTGTGGGTGAGATTGGCTGTAGTGTGTAAATTTGGCACAAAATGTGTAACAGTCAAAGTGGTATCTTCAAGGTTTAGTGCAGTGGTTCTCCATGTGTGTCTAACCAAACACTACAGCACTGCTCCACTGATTAGCACACCTGCAGCCACTGAAGAGGAACTAATCAGTGGAGTGTTCAGCTGTAATGTTAAACTGTAATGCAAAGCTAAGAACCCAGTGGTTCATCGTAACTCATGCTGGAAAATTGCTGTTTTAGTTTCAGATGTTTAAAGGTACACCTTGTGCTGAACCACCAGCTTTTCACATCGACTCAAGTGGCTACAGAACTAAATTTGGGCAAATAATGAAACGATGATGTCCAGATTCTTAGAGGAAAAAAAGCCTATTTTCTTTCAAGGCAAAAAAGATTGTTGCCTAAGCGCCAAGATCTTTAAATTGTCATAGCAGGAAAAGCACTGGTGGTGTTCCATTTAGGTGTACAATGCCAGGGAGTCCACATGCACGATAACAGATCTCTTGAACTGAAATACCTAAATGGATTGCAGGCATCATTAATGGTATTAGTTGTAGTATTCCTTTGTTTGACAAGTCAAAATGTCCACTGTGAAAAATGGCTATTGGTCAGCTGTATCTTTGTTTTATATTAGGGGGGCCATAGAGAAGCCAACCACACAGGATAGGAAGCTGTCGCCACAACCGCACATGATGTCAGATCAACGTGTCATGTTCGGTATTTGTTTTTTAAGGCAGAAAAGCGCCCCACAGAGGCGAGGCTGAAAGACTCGACACTTTAGAATAGATAGATATAAAGACACTTTGGGTTGGAGGCTTCAAGACAGTTGATTGTTGAGTGTCATTCCCAGGGTGCTAAAGTGTCAGTATTTGACGCCCTGGAAATGAGACTCAACAATCAACTGTCTTTCTTGACTCTGATTGGTTGTTTTCGTTCCCGCCCAGTAGGTTCTTGTAAATGCCATTAGGAGCAGTAGGAGGAACCAGATTATCTGTCTCATGTACTACTGTCAGGATGTAGTGAAAGTTTCAGCAAATACGAGGCGGTGGAAACACTACTGGTCTTCTCCATAGGGGCCGCCAGAATCAACAGAATCAACACAAAATAAAAGTTCCTTGTAGGGGTTTTAGGTATACTATGTTTCCAAAACCAAGCACAAGCAATTAGATAAAGCTAAAGAAATACACATTTGTGGGAATTGATTGTTATAGATGAATTCTTTGTCTACATTTTCAATGGTAAGATATATTTAAATAGAAATCTGGTTAAAAACATTCATTTCAAGGATGTGATATGATACCAAGCCTGTTCATGCATTATGTTTCACACTTCAAAAGTGATATCAGCTTGTGAAAAATGTATTTGTTCAAACGTATGGCCATGTAGCACTGTCACACGTTTACTGTAAATTATTGGAGAACTTAAAAACATATGTAAGAAATCTTGATGATTTGAAAACCTTCAAATTGTGCCTGACCCTTGAATCTTTCCTTCTTCTTCTGCTGCTGCTCTTACAGGCACAAGCGGAGCAAGGCCCAGTCCAGGAGGAGGCGTCTGCAGATCACGCTGGCAGAGTCTCTCAGCCTGTGGAGGCTCTATATGTACGAACTGTTTCTGTGGACGAAGGGCTCCATGCTGGTGCACTGGCTCACTGCTCTGCTGTCGTATCTGCACTGACACATCTGGATGGACATTGCACTGGAACATTAACAACAGGCTACACTGTTGGCTCTGTAAACTTCCACATGACACCATTTGTGACTCTGTGGATACATACAAGGACACAAGATGCTGATGTCTTTGGACAGCGGGAGCAGATGTGGCTGCTGATATTTTTTTTGGCCTTTTACCTCAGGATCACAACTTACTATATGTCCAATCGGCAGTGTTGAGGTCAACTATTTTCTCACGATTGTGACATCATTTTCTTTACTCAAGATATATACTTTTCTGTTTCACTTGTTTTATTTAAGGCTATTATTGTCAGATGATTTTTCTCATAAAAGTGAGATTGACTTGAGCCATTACTGTATACACAGTATTCAGACCATGCATGTACTAGTGTTTTTATATGGGAGTTTTAGAGGTGATAGCTGGTATATTTCAAAGAGACAGAGGACAGAGCCAAGCTGGCTGGCTGGTTTCCCCCTGCTTTCACTCTTTATGCTAAGCTAAGCTAACCACACATGACTCCATCTTTCTTTTCCATCTATTTAACACGCAGACCTGAGATTGATATCTTTTTCAGAAAAAAAAAAAAATACGCACAATTCCCAAAATGCTGAAGAATTCCTTGCAACCATGAGAAGACTGTTTGACATCCCAGAATGATGATACGAGTGTAATCAGTTCCCTTATTAACTGTCAGATTATGAAATTTAATAGTCATGAATTTTGATTAAAAGTAAATTATTGTGTGCAACCTTTAACCAGGTACATAGTAGATCTCAAACACTTGACAGCCATGTATAATCTTAAACATAATGCTGTATAGGCAGCCCTAAATACCATCAGACAATTCCCTTCAACACACAGAAAAAAACTGTGATGCAGCAATGAGGAACCAGATCACTCATAGGCATTTTCCTGCAACAGGGAACCAGCTCTGTTCTGGTTTGCACACCTAGTTCTGAACCGTTCCGAGCATTTCAACCAAAAATAAATTGGTGTGGAACCTGAAAAGCTGGTTCCCTGCTTGAACCAAAAAATAGCAGGTTTTCCATGGGAACCAAAGTGGGTGTGTCATATTCTACAGGTCGTTGTGCATTGTGTAGCGTCCTCTGTTGATGATGCATCCAATTACAATGGTTCCCCTCAGGGGCTGGTAAGCTAAATAGCACCAAGGTTCCAAGAATCTGGAACAGAACCGGTTAATGAACTGGAGCTATTTTGGTGGAAAACACATTTAATAACATAGCCAGACAGGGAAGTAAGTCATACACAAAGACAGGTATCCAGTCCAGGTTCGGAGTGCAATGATCTGTTTGTGTAACTGTCATAATAATAATAATAATAATAATAATAATAATAATATTATTATTATTATTATTATTATTATTATTATTATAGGTGTTATTTTGGTAGGCTGTGCGTTACAACCCCACAGCGACCGTAATTTGTATAAACTTTAACGCAACTGATAGTGCAGCTCTACAGAAAAGCTTCCACTCTCTGGCTTGTTTACTTAGTTTAAATCATCTCTTTTTTCAGAAAGTGGCTTAAATTCTGTATTTCCCTCTTCTCGTCTTTGTACTGTTGTCACCACAGTTCTCGTGTGGTTTGCTGATTTGAATGAAAGTCAAAAGTCTTTTTGCAGTCATAGTGGGAAGCTCTCGAAAACTTTCACAAAGATTGAAGGCTTGACTTTATAGCAGCAGTCAAAAGTATGTTGCTTGGTTACAGTAATAGGATGAAAACACACAAATACAGCAGAGCAAAGTGACAAATCTGTATGAAGCATTACGGTAAAGTGTGCTTCTTTGGTCTATGTGAAGCTGCCTGGAATCAGTCAGTTGTTTTTTAAAAACTGTTGTGCCACAGCTCTACAGTCTATGGGCCTACCTGCTGTATCACAGTGCTTTGCCACATTAGAGAGCAGTGTTGTAGCAGCAGTTGAGAGTAATGTCAAAAGGATTTGCTGATGGGTCTAAATTCACTCCCTGTTTGCTACCTAATGCACAATATTTACCGCTCGCTTTTATTTGTCAGAAAGTGTCAAATGATTGCACTGTAGTGTTCTAAAAACTCCCACACTGGAACAAAAAATGTACTGTCCATTGCATGCTTACAATCTCACAATGCAGTGCTTCTCCTGATACATGTGTAATGTATTGTTATGTAACCCTACACCTGTCTGCAATGATGCAAAATGTGAAATAGAGACAGAGTGAACTACAGAGTGTTAACCATGTAGGGCGGAGCAAGGGAGGTATTTCAGATTTCAGACACAGCACCAGCGTTAGACAAATAACAAACCTGCTCTTCATCACTGCCTCTATCTTCTATACTTCTGTTTCTGCAATATCCTCTCTGAATGATGTGTTTTTGTGTAAAACAACCAAGAAGTAAAGAAAGTGGAGATGTCGAAGGATGCCTTTTGCCCCTGCTGCTTCCAGTCTTTAACTTGGCTTTATGTAATCTTGTGCACTGCAACCCACATTTCTGAACGTATGCAACGGTTGTGGATAAATAACATGAAAAAATATATGTCTGTTCCGGATAGGCCAACACATCCAACCTTACTAATCTCAGAGGCCATATCTCTTCTCCCTGTGGAATAAATAATGTATGAGCGCACCAGTAAGCGCCCCAAAACACTACCATGATATCGATAGCTTTAACTATTTGCTTTCTATTTCCTCTGGTAAAATTGACCTTAAATCTTTGTTAAGATGGTGACATGTTACCATTTCTGTTTTTTGGCGGCATTAGATCCAGCCACTTCCTGCGAGTTGGAATAATAACAAAATGGTTGCATGTTTCATCATTTTATAACAAATTAATTAAAAGGAACATGTAAGAAATCAAGTGTATAATGACATTTATTGCATCCCTGTTTTATCTGCCGACATATTGGACGAGTCAAAGGCTGTGTAGACCCTAACCCTAACCTCAGAAGTTCACTGTTGGAAATCACTGCTGTTTTTCATGCCAATGTTTCTCACTACTGCCCCTGAAAGTCCACACTTTGCTTTATGCTAACAACCAAAACAGAATAGTTGAATACCTAGTGTAAACTTTATAGAATTGGTATGTAGGGTGGCACAAAGCGATATATTATCGTTATCACAATATGTGCAATAAGTGCAATTTCCAAATCACAGAAGCTGCAGTTCTTTGATGAAGGTCAAATGTGTGACAAACAGCATTATAATGAAGAACTGTAGTTCTTAAGAGACGCCCTGGCCTACAAATCTTGTTCTCAACAAATGTCACATCAGGATTCTAATTTTTTCAGTGAAAATTAAATTTGTGATGCAAAAACTAATTGTGAATCATATCGCAATATCTGTCAAAATAATTGCAATAAGACTTTTTTTGCAGTCTTATTAGTATGTAGTATGGAATTGGGATGTAGCAGAAAGGAAGGGAAAAGACCTTGGAAGGAGAAGAAGGTGATAAATGAGACCTGCAAGACAGGCGAAAAGAATCTAAAACAGAATGGAGGTGAACAGACAAGAGAACGAGTACGAGTGGTTAAAAATGAAATATCTGAGGTGTAGTGAAGTACAGGAGAATGTGATGGAGTGGCAGATTGGATTGCTCAGATCTTCCATTAAACTTCCTTTTAAATCCCCTACCTCATTCAATTCTATACACCCTTAGCATCAATTGCTTCTTTTTGTTGTGGCTTTTGTCACAGACCTATACTTTAAACTCTGTTTGCAGCTACTTTTATTATTCACCCATCATGCATTCCCACATATTTTAAAGGGAATGTTACATGTTAACAGGTGGGAGGGAAGGGAAGGGAATCTACATGTTCTCCACTGGGAACTCTTTCTGACTTCATCTGTGTATAATTGGCTGAGCCCATTGTTGTAGATAATAAGTTGGGATATTAATGTGCTAGTGCTAGGTAGCTTCACAGGGCAAGCTATTACTGTGCTAATTAAAATAAATGTGTCATAGGTTAAACCTCACAAAATAATTCTTAATTATTCATCTATTTCAACTTTTTACACATGAAGCAATAAACAGATTCAATGTAGTCAGACATAAAATTAGATTTTCTCCGGCAGAGGACATTAAGGTTACTTTGCACTACCTATATATCTGTTTCTGCTAATACAAAGAGTGCAGAATCTGCAGTTTTGGGGTACTGCTATTCTGCCTGAAACACATTTGGCTGAACAGTCAAAAAACATTCTCAGTTTCATTGTTAGCGTAGTTAGCCTTTGCAGGGCAGTATAGCTGAGGTTGGTTGGAATGTTTGCTTTATAAGTATATGGTCAAGAAATGAGTGCCGGACAAATTCAATGCAGACCTGATGATGGCAGAGAGAGGAGAAGTTGGGTTAACCAAAATTATTAAAGTTCACCCTACACTTGTTTGGACAAAATGTATCTGTGGACACTAATTGAACGAAACTTCAGGGCAGTCCATCCAGTAGTTGATATATCAGTCTGAACTCAAGCGTGGGACCAACCGACCAACATTGCCACTGGAAGGTTTCCCAAACTTAGTCTGGCCACGAAGCTCAGGGACAGGCCAAGGCAGAATCTGGACAGTCTAAAGACAAACAACTTGAATTAAATGGCCTTTTACTCTTAATTCTTTCATTTTTTCCCTCTGAAATTCAGCCCAGACCCTGAATTATCAGCCTTTCATTCCCAGCCTCACATGCTATAATCCCTGCAGCAGCCAATCTCGCAGACACACTCACTAGTCAGGCTGTTGATAATTTGCCTGTGTGCAGTTCATCCAGCCAGGGTGCATAATTGCAAAAAATGTCCAAAAGGAGGAAAGTATTACTCAACCACAAGTTGAACATCCAAGCCAGTGTAATGGATATTTTAACAGGATAGTGTGTGTGCTTATTTGCAATGCCCCGTCAGGTGAATTGAAATTAGTCTCAGTTTTGTTGGCGTATCCTCGACATGTCAGGGACACATTTTCTGCATCCATGCTGTGAATTTGTAAATGTGAAGTTGACCAGGGTTACAAAAGCTGCATGCACACCCAAAGTGCACACTGTTGCTCATTTCTTCCACATGTTTTGGTGATAAAATATAAATTTCACCACACACAACCTGCTTCCACTGTTTCCCAAAGTGTTTTCTCAGCACGGTGTGTGCGTCTGATGAAGAGCGCGATAGCAGTAGGTGTGTTGAATAGTCTCTCTCTCTCTCTCTTTGTGTGTGTGTGTGTGTGTGTGTGTGTGTGTGTGTGTGTGTGTGTGTGTGTGTGTGTGTGTGTGTGTGTGTGTGTGTGTGTGTGTGTATAGCCACAGGAGGACCATCCATCTTTATCACACAGGGCCACCTAGGGCTGCCATGGCTAATAAGAGCAACTCTCTCTTTCTATCCCTCTCTCCTCCTCTCAAAGAAAGAGAGAGTGAGCACTTTGACGAGCCCTCTCTCCACGCTCCCTCCCTCTGTGGAAGTGGTCTGGAGGAGGATGAAAGGTCACACACTCACATGCTAAAGTCAAAGTATCTTCAGAAAATGTGTTTAGACAAACATTTATGGTGCTTAGGAGGTGTACCTCCGTTCATATTGGGCCTTAAAGGAAAATTCCAGTGTAAACAATCATGGATAAAACTATGAAAATGAGTGCCTAGTTTTACATAATTTGCATTATTACTACACTAGTGGAACATCAAGCTGGGCCCTTAACCAAACAATAATTTATTCTCTAGATATTGAAGGGCACTTTGCAGCAAATGCATAGAGCAGACTATTATTATAAAGATACAACCAGCTGAAAACAGGACAAAACCCAGATGGCCAACAGTAAATAAAATGTCACTCGGGCGGGGCAGAGTGCAACATGCATTATTAAGCTACACAAATCAAATGGCCTCTCATTTCCTTTACAATCGCTCCATGAAGTCTTCCACAATCGGCCCCAAGGTCCGACTTCTCTGCTCCTTCATTGTAAGTGCATAATCGGATCAGTCCACTCAGCCCCTCTCTTGCCCCACTGCGCTAATCAAATGGGGTTTTTTTTATTGTAATTTTGAGCTGAGAATAGTAGCCGGCAGTCACAGCAGTAACAGGAGTTTGATTAAATTGCAGAAAAGCCATGCACACTCGGCTAAGGGTAGAAGATCCACCATGAGCGTTTCAGCTAGGCGAGACCCAACTCGACACTGGCAGCGCTATGGATGAGGCCGCCAGCGGGTGCTCTAAAGGGCCTTTTACACACCGCCAGAATCATAGTTCATGAACGGTAACAACATTGAAAAAACGTACATTATCAACAGAACATTACGAGGTAACAGCTATGACCTTATGTCAAAGACCTCTATGTAATGTGTGGCAGAGATATCTACTGAAATTAGCATGCTAACCAGCTAGCTTCGGCCCATAATATCTTGCCATACCAGCTGTGCTTCAGGAGCTGATAGTGAGTCAGTGTAGGGTCCAGATTCTGCTCTGAACCGGAGCCCTTTACCAGCGGGAGCTCAGAGTTGATTTTGAAGTTTTTGAGATTAAGTAGTGGATTTATCTTCTCTCTTGCTTCTCAACCGTTTGTTATTGTAGCCGTCTGTGTGCACCCCGAGCTCTATGATATTCTATGATATAACATATTTATACAGAGACCGGACAAAAAAGGAGACTGCTTGGAGAAAAGTGTGTGAGGAAGCTGGAAAAGGTCTGGTCCTTGATTCCTGAGTCGTACTTTAGTGCATAAGCATAGTGTAGTAGCATGATCAATCCAAACTGTTCAGAAAACAAGCATTTTAAAAGTTGTTTTCTTGCCGTTTTGCAGGCAGACCTGTCAAATTATAATTTTTTACAAATCGCCATTATGATCCATTCCATCCATTATTACAATGAAAGTGGTTTCAGCGCTGAATACAAATGATCCTGCTGACATATTGTAACCACTTGGAAACTGTTCGGAAAGTTCACTAAACATTTCTGAGGACACTGCAAGGTTTATTTTGTGTGTCAACAGTGTCATTGCATTGAGGATGGGAGGAGGTGAAATGCTGCCTTCTAAAATAAAAATATAAAATAATTATTTGTTCATTGTTATTTGTTTCAGAAACTTTCACTGTAACCTCACAGTAGTACACGAGACAGATACTTCTTCTGGCTCCTTCTAGTGCTCCCAATGGTATTTGCAAGAATCCACCAGGCCTGAATAAAACCAATCAGAGCTGAGAAAGATAACTGATTGTTGAATCTCTTTCCCAGGACGTCAGACAAATTCATGGGTGACGTCACGAAAGGCTCACTCTTGCTGGAGATACAGTTTCTGCTTCGGGTATAAAAGTTGACAAAACTACAAAGCCTGTCTTTGTCATTAAATGTGTGAGTAACACTAACTCTGAATGGCTCAGTGATGTTCAGGTAATGGGTAAATCTGATTGTGCCATGTGTTTTGGTGAAAGATGGTGGCCTGCACTGCAGCATGGGCGACGCCAATGTCATTGTACCTCTGTTCCAGTGTGTTCCAGGTAAAAAATGAGGTGTCACAGTCGATTGGCCCACGCTGTTCACAACACAGCACAGACCACACTCGCCGCTGAGGTAAGTACAGGGTAAGTGTTTCTTTTCTTCACTCCATCCCTCTTCCTGTCTCTCTCCCTCCGACTTTCTCCTTTTTATTCCCCTGACAGCAAGTTCACTCACTTAGGGTTTGATAATGTAATGTTTTCTTGGTTACACTGAAGTTGATATTTCCCTCTAATTAAAAATCCAATATGCCAGTCACTGTGGTCCACCCACAGCATGATAGATGTGATGCAGTTGGTTTGATTTGAAATTTATAGGTGAATTAATCAATAAGACACTTGCTGTCTATCAGAGGAAGCTGGCTGAATTGATTCTGAAGCCGCATTTCAGCTCACTTATGTCCACCCATTTAAAAAATCAAAACCTTTCATCAATGCTTATTACTGTTTGCCACGCAAGCAGTTGCTCCCTGTGTCTCTCTGTTCAACACTTTGGTTCACAGCAAGGTGTTTTAGTGATGGGGGGGGCTCCTCCTGAAGTCCACTGTCATCTCCACCGTTTTAAGATTGTTCTGACCGCACCAGAGGGTCCCCCGTTTAACCTGCTGCATGTATTTAGACTCGTCACTGTTCAGGATGAGGCCGATGACCGTTCAGGACTCCAGGTCTAAAGGCCCTGACACACCAAACTGACATTGAAGAACTAGCGACTGTTGCGTCGCAGCACATCGCCGGTGTCTTGGCCAAAAAGGGACACCAGAACACACCGCTATGAAGACGCTCTGATGCTGATGAGTGCCAACTGTCTCACCAGGCAGGGCATGCAGTTGGTTGCATGATGCTTATCAAACCTGCAGTAAAAACACATTCCGGTTGTCGGCCAGTTGATGGTTCTCCACAGACTCTCAGTGTGTGGACAAAAGCTCCTTTTAGCAACTTTCTGAAAAGGTCAAAAGAGCAAGCTAGAAATGCTTTGTGGCATTTTGGAGCTCCTACTCCTAGCTTGATGTTGACATTGTGAGACTTATGTTCTGTGAGCCAATAGAGATAAGGATTGGTGACACTTGTTTGACAAGTATTTTGCAAGAAGACTTCAGTTGTTCGGGCCCCAGGCCTTTGAGAGGTTTGCTATCAAATCCCATACAATATGTGACAGCTGTGAATGCCAC